TTCAGCACTCTCTGGTTCCAAAACATGTCACACAGGTAGACTTCCATTTAAAGAATCCCAGGCAAACACTACGGTGTGCATAATTGTATCACTTCAGTGTCCTGGCCACTCACACTGTGTGGCTCATTCATAAAGACTTGGAGCTATGCTTTCTGAAGTCCCTATCTATTTAGCCATGTGCTTACTATAACAGTATACTCTTTGCTGATAATCACTGTATTTGAAAAATGTCCAGTGTTCAATATTCTTCATAAAAGTTGGATGCTTTTAAAACATTATGCTGGTGATTTGAGGATTAGGTTTTACACCCTAATGGGACTTTTGTTTGTAAAGCATCCTTTCTTATTCTGTCAACCTGGATGGCTACTGTCTATGAAGTCCTAAGTCCGGGGATGGGGTACCCAGGGACACAGGTGGGAGCAAACTTCTATTTTCCTGAAGAGGCAACTCAAGCAGCTTCAGAAATCCCCAGCTGCTGTGGAGTTTGATAAGCATGTGAGGCTCAGGAGAGAAGACTGCAAATTTGTAGGATACTTATGAATTTGCATTCACAATCTAAACTGATGACTGCATTGGTAGAATTTTGGGCACTTAAAATTTAGTTGTGATTTAGTCCATTTCCTTGTGCACTGTAGGTGTCCAACATCGAGTCTTGTCAGTTTCAGACAATTTATAGAACCTATATCTTGCAGAAAACCTTGTCCGCCAGAGGGCCTTGGGGAACTAATTTTCTAGTTTTCCTACCCTTTTGCAATCCCCCCTCTCTTTTATTCTCAGCATTAAGTTTAGTTACTGTAGAGTCCTGTTGGAATGAGATTTGGTTACACCTGAGCAATTTGCATGAACTATCAAGCTTGTAAAAAGGAAATTTTGCCTACACCTTCATATTACATCATTCCCTCAAAAACACAAAACAAAACAAAAAATTCACACAAGACTCAAATTGGTCTGTAAGTAAACTCTGAGATGATCTACTACTGACAATCTAGAGATAAGAGGGCTATTCCTAAAAGACAGGAGAAAAAGGGGTAAAATGAAAGAAAACAAGGTGGAACTTAGAAGGGAACTTACAATTTCTTGTTTGCAAAGTCACACCAACATCCTAATTTGAAAAGGGCTGAAAGAGACTGCGCATTCAGTCACTCGGCTATTGTTTCCTACCTGGTTTCATGTATGCAGATACACCCTTCTGTGGTATTTCCAAGAGACACTGGGAGATACACAAAACCATGCTTTCCAAAGAAGCTGGTGCGGAGGTTAAAAGGGTGAAGCTGAGAGGGTAGGTGTCTGGGCACCTGATGTGGAGATAAAGAGCAAGGGGTAAATTTAGGGAAGTGGGTGAATACAAAGAAAGTAGAAAAGTGACATTGAACATGGTTGGCAGAGAGGCATATGTTGCAGTCCTGTAAAATAGATTCGGAATCAGGCCTAACGTTCCTTTATATACTGAGGACACATTATAACCTCCCAGGAATGAAATAAATGTTCTTCTAGGCCGATATGGTTGTCACCATATCTAAAACCTAAGCAAGTATCAGAGGAAAGGAAAAATTAGGAATTTTAAGAATGGTACTTTTGCCCCTCATCAATTCAGCGTCAGAGGTCAAGAAGTGCCTAATGACCGCAGGAGGAGAAGCCCCACAGCTCTAGGTTTCTTTCTTAGTTGCACCTGTTTCCGAAGGGCCTGGGCTCTTAAAAGAGGAAAACAACTGGTTCCCACAGACAGAAACTCGATCCAGTCCCCGCACCTCCTGGCGCCCGTGCCAAGCGCCACCGGAGCTCGGCCCAGGTCCCCACTGCCCTGCCTGCGGCCAGCTCTGCAAGGCCAGGCAACAATGGCTTCCTGTCTCCTTGGGCCCAGGGTGGGTCCCATTTTCCACGGCTCACCTGCTGGGAGCCAGGTGAAGAGCAGCAGCCAAAGTGTGGGCAGCTCAGGGCCCATGCCGGCCCCTCTCTGGCCCCTTGCAGCTCAGGGGCTTCGAGGCACCGAGCCTTTCTTCATCAGCTGCCACCTCAGGACACTCCGCTCCTCCGAGGAGTCCCCCGGACTTCCCCTCCCTCGGCGCGGGTCC